GTTTTAGTTTGTGTTTTTTAATCACTCCTGACAGTAGATGCCTTGTACAAAGTTCTGTTTCACTATTTACTGCCTCTCTGGCTGTGGCAGGTTTAAATGGATGCTTTTCCCTTTAGAAACAAATGTACTGTAAGAGGCAGAAAGCAAGAACACTCCCCAGTGAAAGACTGAAATCACTGCACTAACAATTAGGGAGAAATAACATGAAAAGCTGGAGACAGCTGGAGAGACTGACCAGTCTCATCCAGCAGGGAAGCCATCTGTAAAAGCATCCATAGCCCTTTCAAACACAATTATAGACTGGTCCTAATTGTACTTCAACCCCATGTAATCACTTGTGCCAGTAATTAATTGGAATACAAATAGCAGCTGCACTAAACCATGAAGAGCTACAAGAAAAAGATAAATTGCTTGCAAGACATTCCTGAAGTATAAACTCACTAGAGGGTTTTCATCATGGAAGCAGGCAGAGGGATTAGGATCAAGTCTGACATTTGGCTAATCAGCCACTCTTTTTCTATACAAGAAATAATGCCATCAGATTTAAAGTCTCTGAAATACTGTGCAGGAAACCAGAGCATGCCCAGACTGCCACATGTTTCTGACTGTACTTGTGCTGGGTGTAGGTACCTGGTGAAAAGACTCTGTTTGCCATGGGACTGTAAATCAGCAAACCCACCCTCAGCTCATCCTGGGATGATGAGCCCAGCCCACTGCTCTTTGAGAACTCTGAGATTTCCTTACATGGAGGTGCATTCATTGCCCTCCAGCCAGTCGTGGGGAAAGGAAAGGTTTATTCCCAATGAAATGGAAGCATTAAATGTCATTATCTATTTCCTCCTGCAGGGATTCCCATCCTCAAGGCAATCTGTGGAGTCCCTCCCATAAAGCAGGACAGATTTATGGAGAGGCATCAGGGAGAGAGGCAGGGATCACACTTGAAGACAATCTCTAATTCCCTTCTGGAGTCAGGCAGGGAAGGACAGGGGGTATGAACCAACACACCCAGCTCCCTCTGAAAATCAGGACAGCACAGCTTCTCTGCTGCTTGGCAGGGATTTCCAGAGAAGCCATTCTAGCTGTGTACCACGTTTTGGCAAGTGCTGTAGGGCCAAGGTGGATCTGCCATCCCGGATGAGGTAGGGCTCAGGGAAGGTGATTCCCACAGCACAGCACCTGTACCCCGGTGATGCAGAGGCAGCTTCAGAGCAGCAGGAGACCAGGAGGCCACAGCAGGACACTGCTCAGCAAGCTGCACTGGGGGCTGAGACCTGTCCTGTGACAGGAGCCCCCTCTGAAGGGTCCTCACCAAAGCATCCCCAGCTGGGACTCCCTTGCTGGGGCAGCTCCTGTCAGCACCAGGGATGCTCTGTCACATCCCCTTGGCAATCTGTATCCCCATCACCCACCTCACACACAACATTCTCAGCTGTGCCTCTGTTTATTCACAATATTCAAACTAGAGTCCTTTCCTCCAGGAGGCTTTAAGTTTAAAAGAGTTCCTACAAGATTACCTAAAACTTTTTTCATAAATAAGCAAGAAGCATTCACAAAATAGTTCTATTTGTGAATTTTAAAAGCTTTAAAAGACACTGTTCCTGTCTCCCTCTGCTCTGGACTCCTTATAGAAGCTTGACTAATAGGTTTGTAACATGAGTCAGGATTCTAACCCTGCTGCTTGGCAAAGGCCAACTGGAACAAATATAAAAGGCAAACTAAAAAAATAAATAAACATGAAAGAAAAAAAAGATGGAAGCAAATCTTCGTGCTCAAAGCCACCCCTGCTGCCGAGGACTGACTTGCATTGTGCTCTTCCAAAATATCCCTGATGTGACACTGGCATTCCAGCCCCATCACCAACAGGGATTTCCCGGGAACAGGGCTGCACTGTCATCTGCCCAGCATGTTCTCATGTGCTGAACAACTGCACATTGAGAGCAGGAAGATGCCTGCCAGCTTCTCAACACCCTAGGGAAGCAGAAAGAAATCCATTTATTCATTTAAATGAATCCCTTCTTTATCAAGAAAAATACCTTCAATTATTGAAATAAAATATTAAAAGGAAAACTTTTCATTCTCTGGAAATTAACTCAGCAAAAAGCCACCGAGGAGATCCACTATTGCTAGGACTGAGCTTGCCCATTCCTGCTCATACGAAGAGCAGTGGAACCCTGGATATTGGATAACCTGGAAAGCAGCTCAGAAGCAGGGCTGCAGAAATGTTATGCACAGATGACAGCCAGTTTCCTTTAACATGGGCAACTTTCTCTGCCTCACAATGAGTGGATTCTTTTCAGCTCAAAACAGATTGCACATTTTTATTTCCAAAGAATGTACTGGGACAGTTTGCAGCTCCCTGCAAACAGAGCCGTGGCCTGTTGAGTGTATGAATGGAACAGGCTGACATTTAAGTGTTTTGAAGGAATTGCTTTTCATCTGTGCTGCACCACTGGCTACACCCTCCTAAGGCATTTCAGCCAAGTCCTAGGCAGGTCAGCTTTATGGATTGCCAGCTGTCCCACTGCAATTACTGAGAAAATTCACAAACCTATCCAGACTAGAGCCTTTATTTGGATGTTGAAATACTGAGCAATACCCAGCAGCTTAAAGACTAATACACATCAGTCTAAATGTGTGCATATTGCTGTTCAAACAGCCTTGCTCCCTAAGAAACACTTATTATGAGAGGTGTCAATCTCCACAAAAGGAACAGGAATCAAAGCTCAATAAATGAATTGGCCAAGGCAGTCAAATGCCCTTTACATCAATTTTTATTAGAGATTTTGACATCTTGTGATTATTTCCTGACAACAGGCTGATTGCCCAAAGACTAATTAGACCAAAAGCCTTGACAAATGGGAACACAGAAACAATGTGAAGTTGAAGGGCATTTTGTTCTTCATCTAACACCGTTCCAGAAGGGACCCAAACAAATCACAGCCCCTGATGGAAGTTTAACACCCTGACAGTCCTCTTTGGAGAGATGATGTGATACACAGCCTCAGTCTCACTGTGCAGGAGGGATCTTCATACTGCAGACAGCTCCAAGATGCAGGTTTGGTAATATCCCAACTCTGAATGTTCCTTTCATTTCATTCCAGCCCCGGAGACCCACACAGGTATGTGACTGAAGGGCAAGCTGAGTTAGCAGGACAGCAGCTGGGAATACCCAAGAACCCCCAGTACCCCCAGTGGGTACCCCAGCCAGAGCAGCATTTCCTGCACACCCAGGCACCTCATGAGATTCCACAGCGTCCTTCACAAGGACTTTGATTAACTCAAATACTTCTAAACAGATGAAGTTCCCTCCGGACAGACACGCACCCCACACCTCCCAGGTGTCAGCAGTACTATTAATGCTAATTTTCTACATGTAACTCTGTTTCTGGAAACCTTCACAAAAAGGTGTGTTAGCTCTACCTTGAGTGGATAGTTATATCCTGCCAGGATGAAAACTGCTGGACCCAGGAGCATCATTTGCCCTCTACCAATTACACAGAGAGAATTCCATGTTTTGATTAGGTGAGATGAAAACCAGAACCTCTCACAATTATCACCTTCAAACCAATGTCCACTGAGGTTTTAGACATTTCTAAAGGAGAGAACACAAATCCATACTGAAGAGCAACTGTTCAAGGTGAGTTTGTATCACACAATATATTCCTGCTGCTGTAATAAAACTTAAAGCTCAAGTTTCTTACAAATTAAGGGAGCAAGTGAAAAACAAAGAAGTGTCTACTAAACATTAACAACGATGTTTAACAAACCATATTGAGGAATCAGCAAAAGTAGATAAAAGAGCACAGAAGGAGAGTTGCTTCTTGAGTTTTATTTCATCTTTTGCACCTGCTCAAAATGCTGCCTCTATTTCCTGGAAGCAACTAATTTCTCAGAACAGTTTGGAGAAAGCACAGCACCAAGGCTAGGTAAACCCATTTGCCAGCACTCCAATTGTTTTATGTTGGTCCCAGTGAGGAAAACTGGAAACCCCAGGCTCTCAGCAGAACAACACTGAAAGGGGAAGGACACTGCCTGAGCAAGGCTCTTCCTCCAGGGACACAGCACAATGTCAGGCACAAAGCAGGGTAAATGTCACTGCATGATGAAACACAGGCTGGTCAGAAATCCACAGCAACACAATCAACACACACCTAAATCCTGCTGGGTTTATTGTGCTTACAGTTTTAAACTCACTGGTTGGAACACTTACTGTTAGATTTAAGATTTCCTATTTTTTTAAGGCAAACCAAAGAAATAAAAATGTGACAGAAGTATGAAAGGGTTTCACTGCAGGTAAAATTTAAGTGAAGTGTGTAAAGAAAGATCAGTCACAGTATTAAGTCTGTGATCAATTTATGGAATACAGGTTGCATTTGAGACTACACAGGATCACACTCTTGACTCTGAAAAAAGATAGTAAAAACTCACCTGTTCCTTTTATTCTGAGATTCAGTTTGGTCACTGAAGGGTAAGAATGAAACATTTTTACGTTCTGAAAACCTTATGTCAAAATCTGAACTAGTATTTCAACAGCCTGATTCACATACACTGTACCTTGTGAGCACAAGTGCATTAGCTTCTGCAGAAAAATAGAATAATTTTAGGGTTTTTTTTTCTATCAAATACAATTTCAATAATGAAATTGTATTTTTAAATCCAAGCATTCCCATAATCTGGAGTCCAAATATTTCTCTTCTTAACATATCAAGGTGAAATAACTTTTTCTGTGTTCCTTAAATTGAAAGTGAAATACTGATGGTAGCTCTCTGTCTTGAAACAAAAGACAACCCACAGTCTTCTCAGTGTGGCCAACAAATGAGTTGGACTATTCGGAACAAGCAACCATCTGATCCCAAGACAATCCTTTATTGTGGGATGAACAAAACTCTTCTAGGCAGCATGTGCCCTACTGGGTATCTTTAATGTAATATCCAAAAGCAACAGTGAATTAAATATTTAATATCAAAATAATCACTCTAAGGGAGCTCAGAAGACAGCAATTTCTGCTTTCAAAGTATAAGCCAGAGAGATGCGTGTTTCTGCAGAATTTTATTCAATAAGCACATCAGCAAATAAAATTTCCAGGAAAAACTACAGACAGCTTCCTAGAAATAACAGTTCCCTCCTTAGTTATCTTTAATCACCTTTAATATTCCCCAAGCAGTTTATACAGGTTTTTTTCCCCCCTCTGTGATATTCCCATTTTGATTAATATAATAAATAATGGACTGCACAGGAGATCCTAGAGAAAAATCCACATCTCAGCACTGCTGGACAACAAAGTTCACTGGATGTCATCGTCATCAAAGAGATCTTCAAAATCTAGTTAGGAAAACAAGACAAAAATTAACTTCAGAAGTTTCAATGTTACAAGTGCACATGCAAGTATAGTACTTTGTTCTTTGGATTAAGGACAGAAATAAAGGTGAATTCAGTGATTGAGAGTAACTACACCGTCAATGTAGCATCAGGGAGATGATTTTGCAGATTAACGAATTGGGATTTGTGTTAAAAACCCCTTCCTCAAAAAACATTTAATTGCTTTTAAAGTGCCAATAACATTTCTGTCTCAGAACACGTCTCCCAATAGCAAAATGGTTCTACTCACCTTGGGAATTACTCCTAACTACTCAGCTTTGTATCTTCTTTGTATACTGAACATAAACTGATCACCTAACTGAACACAAGTCTTTATTCTTACAGAAGGACGTTTTCAACTACCGTACAATGAACTGAGGACAAATCCTCATTTAGAAGAGCCCTAAACGATCAGTGGAATACAATATCACAGTGTGATGGTAGAAATATATGGAAATAGCTACTCCTGAATATGCTGGCTTCAACAGATAGCTGAGTGTCCCCCACAACTGCTGGAGTAGAACTGCCTTTTACTCCTGTATTTAAAGTCTTGAGCAAAATGAGAAACGTACTTTATTTTGGAATTAACACTACCACAGCAAGCAGATTTAATAACATCTAAAACTCACTGTTGCAACGTCTAAATGTATTTCTTCAGAAGCATAAAAACCCCTTTAGCAACCAAGTGCAGCACTGTGCTGTGTATTATACCCCTAAAGGCCTGATATGTATCTCCTCTCTCTCAAAGCAGCTGTAAATATCTTCGTACAGCCTGAGAGAATTGGGATTGTTCAGCCTGGAAAAGAGAAGCTTCAAGGTGGCCCAAGTGTAGCCTTTTAGTACCCGAGGGAGCCCACAAGGAAGACTGAGAGACTATTTACAAAGGGCCTGGAGTGGCAGCACATGGGGGAATGGCTTCAAATTGACAGAATGTGGCTTTAGGTACTTGAAAAAAACTCTTCCCTGGGAGGGGTGGTGAGGCACTGGAATTGTCCAGAGAAGCCCACATTTTCACACGTACTTGCGCTGTTTAACATAAGCTATTTGTTACGTGAACAGCCCAAGGTATTTTCCCCTGTAGCGATTAACACGCTCTGACTCCCGGGAGAGGAAAGCCCCGCATTTTACCGCTCCCACCTGCATCACCTGGCACCGAAGCGCTCTCACACCGCTCCCCAGAGATGTGGTTAGCGACAAGTTTAGCGACCAAAGGCACCAAAGGCAGAGAGAGAAGGCAGGCGAGGCGTGCTGAGCTAACCCCGGAGCACTGCGGTCCTTACCGTTGAAGAAGTCAGCGTGCACGGCTTTCTCGTTGGCGGCCAGGTCCATCAGCAGCCCCGTGCTTCCCCCTGCCTGCGAAAGCAGCCTCTGAGCGCCTCCGCGCCGTGTCACCGCAGCCCCGTCACCGGAGCACCCGCCTCACCTCATCCAGGTCCACGTAAGGGCCGGCTCCCTCAGGGAACATCTCGTCCACCGCCGGCTTCATGGCGCCCGCTCCGCGCCGTCACTTCCGCCGCCGGAGCGGAACCGCGGGGCCGGGGCGGAGCGGAACCGCGGGGCCGGGGCCGGANCGCACCGGCGCCCTGGCGAGCGGGCCTGCGGCCGCCATCTCGTCACCCTCAGCCCCCTCCGGCCTCGCTGAGGGGACATTCCCCTGGCGTCTCTCAGGTTTTTGGAGGATGCAGCCTCCTTTTTATCCTAAAATAAAAAGGATATCCCTTCCAAAGAGGGGCTGCAGCTGTACTGGCGGCCCTTGCCGCCCCCAAACTGGGTGCACTGGTTCAGTAATTCCTGTGCACTCCTCTACACAGAGAGCTGGCTCCCGAGACGGAGCTGAGAGCATCAGCTGTAAAAACAAACAAACAAAACAAAGCTTCCAAAGCCCTGCAGCAGAAGGGAGGAGTTTATTGTGTCACACAGAAGCATCAATTGTAAAAAAGGGATTAATTTTGTCAGGAAAATTAATCTACAAACACCAGAGGTTTATGTCCAAAAAAGGAGGCAGAGGAGTCCTTTTACTTTATTCAAATAAAGGGAGAGGCAATGGGGCATTCCCCTGGGGTCTCCCAAATTTTTGGAGGGCACAGCCTCCTTTTTATCCTAATTTCCCGGCTCCATGTCCTTCTCTCTTTCCCCATTGCCTGAGTGTTATAAATGCATATCATATTACTGGCTTTTTGCAAATACTATAATGAATGTTTTATGTATAAGATCAGAAAATTTTGTTGTATTAATATAGTTTCCTTTATTTCTGTTATTAATGAAACTTAGAAATAGTGGTATAAAACATATGTTAGGCTATAACATGATATTAAAGCACAAACAACTTTTTTGTTTATATAATCCAGAGACTAAAAAAGAAAATAGTCAGAGACCCCCCCTGCATCCTAAGATTATCTTGTTCAGATGAAGACAAGCAATTCTCCGAGCCCTCCAAAGGAAAAATTTATGGCACCCGTTATCGAAGGACATAAAACCTAGTGGTGCCAAGAAGATTAATCTATTGAGAAGGGGAGGGGCAAGGAAGAACTAAACAGAAGAACACCAAAAATCCCAAGAATGTCTGAGTATGTATGAGAATTTATGGATGTGTAGTAGGGTTCTGTTTTTAAGGGACAATCCTTTGTTAGTAAGGTGTGCTCTCTTGGCTGAATGCAGAGACACCCGGCCCTATCTGTATACTTTATTGTTATCCCCTAATTGTCTTTTTATTAAACATTTACACTCTATAAAAAATATGTGAACCCTGTTTTTCACGAGATACTTGAGAGGTACAGACTTCCTGGAACACCTGGTACCTAAGATTCCCCTCTAATCTATAACCCTCCCTCTTAATTCTTAACTCTTGTGGAATTTTATGGTGTTTCCCCAGTGTCCCTTTCACTCAATCAATGGAATCCATTCCATTGTTTCTGTTATCCCTCAGTGATAGTTTCATCTTACCAGCAGACCCACAGGTTGTTTGGAAAGACAACCCCATAATTCCTCTCATTTTGAAGCCTGAAATGCTGCACGTGGCTCCAGTGGCACCTTCAGTGCAGGTGTGTTTGCTGGCAGTCAGGTTTGTTCACTCAAGCAACAATTGGAAAGATTCCACTGATGGATGAAATGGAAAAAAAAAAAAAGATATTTACCTTTACAAACAAACTGTGGGATTGCTGATAAATGAAATTGGATATTGAAAGATGGAAGAGATAATGGGGAAACAGCATAAATTCCTAAGAATTAAAAATTAAGAGGGAGGGTTGTACATGAGAGGGGAATCTTAGATACCAGGTGTTATGGGAAGTCTGTACCTCTCAAGTACCTCAGGCAACAGGGAAAGAGAGAGGGACACGGAGCCAGGAAATTGGGATAAAAAGGAGGCTTCGTCCTCCAAAAATCTGAGATACCCCAGGGGAATGCCCCATGGCCTTTCCCTTTATTTGAATAAAGTAAAAGGACTCCTCTGTCTCCTTTTTGGACATAAACCTCTGATGTTTGTGGATTAATTTTCCTGATACACCCGTGCAAAAAATGGTAATAAAGAGACTCATTGAAACCATAAAATGCTGCACATGACCGTGGTATGACAGAGCAGCTGGAGGCAGCCCAGGGGTGTTCTCTGGCAGACAGGTGCTCACCCAAACACCTGGGCAGCAGCTCTGGCAAAGCTGGCCGAGACACTCAGCGCTCCTGGTCACGCACGTGGTAGCCAAGGTGGCTCCCAAAAGGGAACTGGGCAAAGAAGGCTCTGGCCATGTCATTGATCCTGCTGTAGGCTCCCAAGGTCCGGAAATATTCCACGTAGGACCAGAAGTCATTGGATGAGAAGGGCCAGTACGGCAAGGCTGCGCCTTGCTGGTAGAGATCTAAAAAAAATCCAACCAAAATTAAATATTGCAGTTAATATTGCAGATATAATATGAAGCACTTTTGTTGAGAAGTTGGGCTTGGAGCTACCACCATGGTTTGGGGTTGTCAGTTCCCTCTGGGTGCTGGTGTGCTCCTCTGGCAGGAGAGAGGAAGGAGAGCCATTGATCCCTCTCCATGACCCACTGTGCAGTAAATGGAGCCGGTATTCCCTGCTCCAGATGCACCAGGAGTGCCAGACTGGGACAAGATGGGGAACAGGAATGAAGGGACACACACATTTACACCAATTCAAGAATTCATCAGGCTGGTTTAATTTCTAGAAGGCTGCTGGTTATTTCAAAGTGAGGAACGATTGCAATCGAAAGCCATTTTTCCTCATTCCACATAATTTGCTTTTCCTGATATAAAAATATAAGGAATAAGGCACCACCTTCTATGGCATGTCCCTGCAGCTGACCACACTGCCCACAGAACTCCCAGGGACTGGGGCCGTACTTCCCTGATATTGCCTGGAACTGCAGAGTTGTGCCCCTTCTCAAGGGACTGTAGGAAACAAACTGAGGGATGGAGAGGAAAGGCTTTGCCACTCAGGAGACAGCTGCTACATCTGGGGTTGCTCTAGCAGTATCAGAATGTGATACAATCATTGAAACAAAATTTACAGTTCAGCAGGAAAACAAAAACCGGTTCTCAAAATACAGGAGCCGATCACACTTGGGCCCAAATGTGGGCAAACAGAGAAGCATATATAAAATGTAAACAGCAGCTGATACCACAGCCACAAATGTCTTTCTGTGCAGCAAAGCTAACACAGTATTTTATTTTGGTTTGAAGCCCATTTAGATGAAAGTCTTTCAACTCAGCTTGGGGCCGGGGTCTTTAGCAGGAATTAAGAGCCTTCAACAATCCTGTAGTCAGACTTTAATTTTACAGAGTAAAGTTTGTAACGTGCAGGCACAGATGGCACATAAAAAAACCAAATGAACCAGCCAAGTGCAGTCTGCAGAGGAGAACTCATTGTTTATACCACCTGACCTCAGATTCACTTTGCAGGCTGCTGCTTGGCCCAGTGTGAAAGAGAACAATAATTGCTGGTAATGAGAGCTACAGGACACTGCCTGAACAGGGTTCTAATTCTAGATTGATGCAGACTCTCCTGACTGCCACAAAAGTTGCCATAAAAATATTTGATGTACACAAACACAGATGATGTATTAAAAACATTTTAGAGATTATATATTAAAAAGATTTATTTCTAAAGAAACAGAATAGAGTGTGGGAGGGGGGGAAAAGGTTTGAATTTTAAGTAATCATATTAGACCTCATTGTGTATTTGTCCTGTTCATATCTGTTAAAATACTCTGCATATTTGTGCACTGGAGATGCTGCTGGCTGTCCTCTGGTTAACTGAGATGTACACCAGCAGTACTTGGTTAGTGCAGATACTTCTCTGCAACTTTGTTTTCAGACAGAATTCTGTCTGAAAAGGCAAAAAGAAGTTAAACAATAGAATCATCAGTAAGCCAGTTTAAACATCATTAGGGTGTTGAGGTTTTTTTTAATCAACAGCAAACACTAATCCAATGGACTAATCACACAAAGTGATGAGAACCACAGGGTAGCTGTGCTAAGGGGTTTATTCCAACATTTCTCTAATTGGATTCATGGCAATTTGTAAATTTTAAGCTTTTTATCATGAAAGTCAGTATCTGTTGCCTAAAAGCAGAAACACATCAAGCATTATTGTTCAGGACAGACAAAATTCTCAGATGTCCATTTATAAGTCTGGTGCTTTCCAGTTAGGATTTTGTACAACAGAATTAGTGACTTGACTGTAATCCCTTTTCATTTTAAGACTGGAAATTAGCTCCATTATTATACATTAATATGTCACCACCTTTTAATAAATTATAAAGAAATTTTTTTAATTCACTATTCTTTTTCCACCAGAACTAACTGAAAGCTTTTCCATAGTCCACTAAGGTTAATAAGCATTCCCGCCAAAGTCACTGCTGGGCATCAAATCTGGGAGTTACAAATTAGTATCCTAATTATTAGTGACACAAAGGAAATAAAAACACATTAGGAATTACCATCTCCATCCTGGATGGATCGGGCATCTGTAAATAAAGAGGAAACACATCAGTACCAGCTCCTGCACAGAAAGACTTTCTGTTAACCAAACATTTTCCATGTATAACTAGAAGCTCACAAGTTCTTTAATGCCCACATAGGACCCTCTGTGTAGCCAAAAGATTTTTGTTTCTTGAAGAGCAGAGTGAGGAATTCCCTGTTTGCAATCAGTCACCGCTACAAACCAACTTAGTGTGGCTGTTAGTCAGAACTCACAGCCTGAACAGCTGGGATTAATATATCAGCAACACTAAAAAGAAGATACTGTATTTGTAACAAAATATTTCTGGCCACTTGAAAAAATAAACAAGAATAACTTCAGTAGTAATCTTACCTGTTAGCATGATCATCAGCATACAGAAGAATAACAAGCCAGTAAATGTCATCTTGTCTTCAAGAAACTGCTCGTGTTTCCAAAAAGTGATCTGTACAATTGAAGATTATTACAAGAGTTTAATAATTTTGCAAACTCTATTCTTGTTTTAACAGAAGAATACATTCCAAAATAGATTCTAGTTACTAATTTAGGCATAACAAAATCCAATAACATTGCTTAGAGTTTCTAAAGTTCAACACAGCGTATTAAAAGACCATCAGTCCTGAAATGTGTATTGATATTTTGGTTTTAGATGGCATAAATCCAAAAGGTACCTCTGAACTTGCATGAAATCAAGTGTCTTTGGAAATGTTTGATTTTTTGGCTAATTTCACTTTGGAAATTACCTCTCTCGTTTCTTTTCTTTTCTTCTTCTTGCAGCTCTGAGTCAGCTACAAAACTCTAAAAGGACTTTCATTGCTATAAAATAGCAGTGATTTGTAAGGAAGGGTGGGAGGGAAACGTCACTGAGTTACTACACCAATCTGATTTTGTCTTCTTCAGGTATTTTAACTGCTCACATTTGCATTATATTTCAGCACTGCCCATGGAAGAGACAATGGACAGTTTCTGAGAGGAACTCAGAATCAACTTTGGCAATAACACTTGTTTTTGTAAGATAAAGGGAAAAAATCCAGAAGCAAATTCAGTGATTATTACAGTTGCTGCCCTCCTGGTTTTCTTTTTGGCCCTTTAGACAAATAGATTTTCAAAAACATTAGCTGAGCAAACTGCTAAAAGGATACTGAATTCTCTCTCCATCTCATCACAAATCCTAAAAATACTTGACAGTGATTTACATTCTTACACAGGATCCTTAAAATCTAGACTTTAAAATGTAGCCAGGCACGGAGTGCCCACTAAGATCCATTAGTTACAGCAAGTAAAGAGGGAGGTCCCTGAGGACTGCAGCCATGCTGATGCTGCAGGTGCCTTCAGAGGGTCGATGAGGTGCATTGAAATGCATTTTCACATTATACCTATTTCCTGGAAAGATTCCTCTCCCACACCAAGCAGGTGCTTTGGGCTCCAGCAGGTTGCTGTATGGATCCAGCAGTTTGAGAAGCCTGAAGGGGAGACACAGTTTGGAGAATATTCAGTTGGCTCGTGCATCTTGATTGATTTTCATCCAGCACAAAACCCCTGATAGCAGCAGCTGTGGTCAGGGACTAAGGTGTAGCAGAAAGTGTTTGTGACTCACAGGAAGATTGGGGATTTCCTTGCTTCTGGGAGACGTGGCAGTTCAGGCCATCTTGCCAAACCTCCAGCTACTTCCAGATGGCTCCTCTCTTGCGAGGAGCTACTGAGATGCCAGTGCAGAGCTCACTGTGCACGTTCATGCTGTGATATCTGACTGTACAGATGCTGATCTGAGCTGCACTCTCTTGCTGGGCATTTTCAGTTGCCTTTATGATCGACAAAATCATTTCTCTGTGTCAGTTCTAGACACCTGCATATCCCAGCTGCATGTGTGGGTCCTGACATCGGTGTCTTTGCTGTAGCACATCCACCCATCTGCCACAGGAGCACAGGGGAAATCTGTGCACTCACAAAGCTCTGGAGCAGAGAGAGCCAGGTGAGTGGCCTTGCAGGAGGACCCAGCTTGGCTGGAGTTTGTTCCTGTCTACACACAGAGTTAGATAGTTTTGCCAAGAATTAATTCAAGATGTTCTGAATAAGGGAAAAAGGGTGCTTTGTAGCACACTAGGCTGTGCCAAGTCTTGTGGAGGCTGAAAAGAAAAATATTATGAAAGCAGAACCCATTCCATCTTTGAAAGGCTTTAATCCTCCTGCTAAATATAGATTTCCTAGGCCTGTAGGAAGGCTCCCTCCATGAGCCACGCTCTTGCAGCACCTCAGCCCACTCACCTGGGTTGCAGCAGCTGTGGGTGGGAAAAGGCACTTCCTTGGAGTCCTGTGCTGCATCCATGTACCTGGGCCCACCAGCACTGCCTACAGAGCCAAGCTTTCCCTTTCACTGCCTAGTCTGCATATCCTGCTCCAATAAAAAACCAGAAGCACTGAGATGTGCTGATACACACACAAAACAGTCATCAGCTGTAATTAAGTAATTGTCATAAAGCTACTTTTGTGCACATCCATCAGTAGCTTCTTGTTTTGGCAGTTGATAAATCAGGTGTAGTTCCAAGTGGGAGGTGAGAGAACATGTTTTAGATGATGACAAAGGAGAATATGATGCTCCAGATGCAGCCACATCCTGCTGCTCTCCTCTTGAGATATTGACAGTGTTGTAGGGGGATGACAAAGTCCCAGACATTATCAGATTCAGGGTCAATCAATGCTCTGCTCCAGGCCTGGATGATCTTGGGAAGATTCCCACAGCTATTGGGCTGACACACACCTTTGCACTTATCTCCTTTACACCTCCTTATTCTCTCTTTTGAAGCTTGTAGTTACTTCCAGAGCCAGGAGGATCACTGATGTGATGTTGTGTGACAGTCTTCTAACGATTACATGCTTGCAATTTAATTCAAGTCAAAATTTTCCACTTGCCTAGTGCACATATTGGAGATGTGAATAAATTCTCAGGGTTTCCATGCTAAAGCAGACCTAGGAAATTATAAAAAGAGGATAAGACTTAGCATTGAAAACAACTTGCATCACAGGATGCACCCTCTTCTATCAACACTTGTGTTGCTGTACATGACTACTTGTCCCAGTTGGGTCTGTTTTAAACATAGCCTTGGAACAAAGAAAAAACTGATGAGTTCTCATCAGCTGCTTGAAGGACTGTGCCTGATGGGTTCAGTGTGCCAAGCAGTGCACAGTGTGCTCTCTGGCTGGTCCCAGAACACATGGTGCTCTGACTTGGAGCATTTATAACACCCTGCAAGCACATTCATTTCACACCCCCTCCTTTTTTTTTTTTTCCTTTTCTTTCTCTAGGAGTACTTTCCTTTTTCCAAGCTCGACACAGAGGGCAATTAAAATAACAGCACTGGATGTCCAGCACAAGTGCTGGCATGGATCACTTAGCAGAGCCCTTTGCTAATAGTTGCTGCCCTGCAGGCTTCTTCACTGCTGAGCAGTAATTGGAGATGCCGTGGTGCCCACAAAAGCAAATCTTGCTCAGCAGCAGCCACATTTCAGCAGACACTACAGCACTTAACAGGGCAGCTGCTTAATGAGTTCGGTGTCTTAATTTCTACTTATTCTAGAAAGAAATTTACTGTTCTCCTTTTTTCAGAACAGTCCATTAGCTCAAAAAGCTGTTATTCCTGCTGACAAGAAGTGCTCTGGGTTCTGTACTCCAAAGTTTGCATAAAGTTTTTTAGCTGAGGCCATTCACTCAGAAAAGCTTTGCTACACGATAGAAAGGGCTGTTGTTTTTTCCTACCCACCCATCCCAGGAGGATCCAATCAATATGTACTTTCTGTAGACGGCTCTCAAAGCCAGAAAATCCCACACAGAGCTGTGTCAGAGACAGAAATCAATCGGAGCACAGAGTCCATTCCTTTGGGAATTGGGGAATGCAATTTGGGCAGCACAGGTGTTTGTGTGACTCAATGGGGAGCAGTCCTGGAGCTGCCAGCCTGCCTTCAGATGAGCCTCTTACTAACGGGCTGCTTTACCCAGAGCCAAGCCCTGTGGAGCACTTCAGCTCTCCTTGTCGATTAACTTGAAACAAAGATAAAGGAATACATAAAAGCAAGTTTATGGATGCCTTTGTTTTCTCAATAGCTATGTTAGACTGGTATCACACAACAAAAAACAAAATCTATAATCCTCCAAGCACTGAAAAAAGCCCTGTACATAGTTTTAAAAAGCCTGAATATTTCCTATTGAATCAATAGACTAAAGCAAATGCATGCAGAGCTCCATAGGAACTTATTTAAAAACTAAATAGAACTTACAGATGCATCTGAAGTGCTCTGCCCTTGAGCTGAGCAGACAAAATGTTCCCCATAGGGCTACAACACTTCTGTACATCAGAAACAACTAATGACAGTGATATATTGACCATCCTAAAAGCAACAAACAACAAATGTTTGATTATTTCTTCCAGCAATTTGCTCAAATAATACAGGTCAAAAGGAGATTCCTGTGACTAGAATATGCTTTGCTCAGACACGTGTAAGGACATCACAGTACCAACAAGCTGAGTAACAAAGTGACTAGCAAATGTAAAAGGAGGTACCTGTGCAAATTTCTCCCACTTTCAAGGCATGTGGTTTCTGATCATTCCCACTAAAACTAGATTTGGAGCTGCCAAAGGCAGTTCTGGTATAATGTCCTTTAATGCTTAGTCATAGGCAAAAAGACAAATCAAATAAGAAAACAGAAAACAAAACCCATAAAACATTATTTTGCCATTCTGCCAATTAGTCCCATTTTGAATATTGCCTGCATTATTGGTCTCACATAACAGAAGGTCATGATTGAACAAGACCAGACAGAAAGAAGAGTGTGAGGGAAATCAGCAGGCAAGGATCAGCTAAAGCAGACTGGGACTCTTCAGGCCAGCAAAATGATGGCAAGACCTTGATTTCTACCAAGAGCTACCAAATTAGTCTGGCAACAGCTTATTCAAAACAAAAGGTGGGGGGATTTGATACAGTTAAGCTGTGGAATGTCTTATCATGATGTATTGTCAGCTATACAGTGTTCTGGCTGCAGTGTCTGAGCCTGGCTGGGAGCAGAACTGCTCTGCACTTTTGCTCTGTCTCACTCCTCTGATACCCTCTGCTGCTGGGCCAGGTGAGCTCCCAGGCTGACCCTGTGCTTGATCTTACAGTCAGTTTTACTGAAATATGACATATTTCCAGTTCTTGTGAACAGACAGCTTTCCTGCCAGCAAGTGGTTTGATCATCCTGATAATCACAGCCCCTGGAAGCAATTGAAGGGAGACATAGCAGATGGATTTGGATAGTTACAAAACCATTAACAGAATAACTGCAGTGTGATTAGAGATAGCCCAGTGAAAATGAACCACTTGCAGATGTACCAGAGCTAATTGTGAAGGTCAGAGTTACAAACCATAGAGTTAAGGAACAGCTCTACACTTAAATCAATCACACTTAAGAACCAGCAAGTAAGTGCATCTGTTCACATTTATTTCAACTGATCATTTTAACCTCTAGCTAAAGAAAGGTTGTATTTGTACACAAATGAAGTGCCAGGGTTCACAGGTAGCAGGCAGTGCTGCATGCAGCAGCAGGAACTGAAAGCAAGGGAGAGGAACAATTATACTGGCATCAGGACTGGTGCAGCTTGGCTCCCAAGGAGCTGATCCCAGTGCCACTCCCCACGAGCATCCTCAGCTCTCCCCCACTGTCCCTTTTCCCTCCCAGGGCAGCACTGCCAGCTCCAAGCACCAGGTTTGGCTTTCCCCAGGGTCCATGCAACGCTGCTGCCACAACACAGCAGGCTGGTGCTCCTGCTCACCAGTCAAGCAGATGTTCCTGAGCCAAAAAAGAACAGCTGCTGGCTGGCTTCTCCCCTCCTATCACCACTGACACCAACAAATTTTTTCTACTATCCATCTGCAAATTGTCACATGAATGACAGGAACCTCACTCCCAGCCTGCCACCAGAGTGGGTTAGGTTTTGCTAACATTTCAAACTGTTTTTGCTATAGGTGAAATGGAGCATTAGAGCCAACAAGTCCACTTGCTTTCTTGCATGTTGTTTCCTCAGGAGACACCGTTGGCAATGCCTGCCAGCCCCACAGAAGGTAGGTGGCAGTGAGAAGCACTGGCTTCCAAGAAATTCTGCTGCAGGGACAAAGAGGCAGCAGCTGTATTCTGGCAGCAGAGCATCCAGGACTTGTTCTTGCCCTTCCTGAACCCACATCAGGCCTTAGCTCATCCAAGGCACCTTTTTGGATAAATTGTTCTGCTCTTTGCTTTAGCCTTATTCAGCTATTCAGCACAGCCACAGATGACTGAATTCAGGAGGGAATGTAATAAACTGGTCATAAACTGACAGGTTTATTCAAGAACCCTCAAGAGAGGATATATTTTTCCCGTTGCCATTAAGGTTAGATGTATCATAGCAATAACCTCCACCATTTTGAAATATACTCACAATATTTCCAAATTGATTGAATGTTCCAGCTACACTTAAGCTATTAAGCCATCAGCAGCTGTTTATTGTTTTCATTTCACAGAGATGTTCCCTTAAATAAAAGTGCATTAAATATTTAATTACCAAAGTTAAGATTTCAGTAGGATAAAGAAGCTTCTTTATACCCAGGTCCTTTTCTCCTCTTTGATTCATATGCCAAGGCTACCTCAATATCACCAGTTCTACCTGTCCACAAGCAGCTCTGCCCTAGGGACAACAAAATTGATTAACCAGATTGATGAAGAGATGAGCTTGATTACAAAAAATCCATCACAAATGTGAGCAAGCTGCCAGTATATTTGATATCAGCAATCAATGAGACCTGCTAGTGGCTGTATCACTGCAGCAGTTGCCAGACCAAAAGCCACACAGGCTTTGCTACAGGCAAGGTACCTTAGCAAACCCAAGCAACGCCACAAGTGGGTCTGGAAAGAATTGTTCTGTTTATCCATTTTACAAAGGATTGCTGTTTTAAAGACTGTCAGGGTGAAGACTATCAGTGACCATGCCAAAAGGAAACAGCACTTACCTTCTGCCCTAGGTTTTCTGGGTAACAGTGATCAGTACTAACACTGCAGCTGGAGAGCAAACCCCACACAACTCCAGGAGCTTGTAAATTGTGGTTACTCAGATTATTGCTTTATATACTGAAAGCAGAGATTAGATTTATAAATTACTGGCCTTAGCAAGCAACTTTACAGAGATTGTTTCAGGTTCTAGTTTGGACTGATATGCTAAACTCCAGTACAGTTGAACAAGACTGAACCTATTAGATCAAGGCCAAATAAATTAAACTTTAAAACAGCATTGTAGACACTCAAATTCCTTGATGCACCCAGCTAAACACAGGGAAAGCAGTTCTTGCTGCAGCATTTATTGGTATGTAGTTTGTAATTTGATGATCACTGCCCATGTTTGACACATGATTTTGCAGTCGGTGTGCATCTGACCTTGTCTGGCGGCTCAGACTATGTCCTGCCTCACCGTCCAGTTTAATGCCATTTTTGTCACCATTACTGAAGTTTAGCCGTACGTGTGGGCAGGACAGCGTTCCCAGGCTCCTGGCAGGGAGCTCGCTTCATTCCCAGCACTGGCAGGGAGCTCGCTTCACTCCCAGCACTGGCAGGGAACAGGGCCAGCCGCGCTCGCTGCACTGCGGGCTCTGCCGGGGCTGCGGCTCCCTCTGCTGTCCCGGGATCCCCCTCGGACACCCGGGCTGTTCCCATAGCCCCAGCACAGCCTGTGACACACCTCTGCTGTCCCGGGATCCCCCTCGGACACCCGGGCTGTTCCCATAGCCCCAGCAAAGCCTGCCCACCTTTAACACACTTGCAACTTGAATAAACCCGGGGTAAAGCTTCAGCTGCAGCACGAGATAGATAAAAAGCAGGAGAAAAGGTGAAAACCACATTTCAGCAGATTACTTCTGTGACTGAAGGATGTATCAGTTTATTCTCTGTGCAGACTCACCTTTATAGCATCAAAGGTGGGAAAACAACCACTGCCACATTCCCAAATCTCCTTCTCCCCCCAGCTAGGCTGCACGAGTCCTTATAGGAAAGCTGTACTCATGCCATCCTGCTATGGATTAGGGCCTCAAATATACAAGCAGGAGCCATAAAACAGAAACACTCATAACTCTGGTAGAGCCAAAGAATAACACCCCCAAAAAAGAGAGTCTAGGGTTTGTGGCTCTGGGCTGAGTTTAAATGTTTCCTGGCACCATGGGCAGGAGTGTGGGAGGAGGCTACAGGTGAAGCTGCTCCAGGCTTTTAGGGTGTATTAGTGCCCTCAAGCTCCCAGCAATGTGTTTGTCAGTTAAAGGGAAAACTGCTGAATTTTTTGTAGGAAAGATAACAGGAGAGGAACAGTGAGGGCAATGTTGCTGGCAAAGCTCTGTAAAGCATTTCTTGGCAAACAGATTCAGCTCCTGCTATTGCTCATGTCTTCCTGTGTGACCCTGGAGAACAATGAGGATACTTACAAGTTTATCAATACATTTAATCTACAGCCATGATCATATCTATTTTTAAACCCTTTAAAATGTGCTGAATTTTAAACTCACCTTGACTTGTGGCTTATAGTACTGGTGGGAGCTTAAGACAGGAATAATAACTAAATGGACTGCCTAGGGACTGAATCAAGGTGATTTCTCTTTGTTGTCCAAGCTTCTATGCCTGTGATCCCTCCTGTCACCTTCCCAAGGCAAATGTCTGTGAATTATATTAGAAGGCAAAGGGTACAAAGTGCTGCAGCTGCCAGGGTGTGGTGGCTGGTCTCACTTGGGACAATTGGCAGAAACTGGGCAGGCACTGTCAGGTGTTCTTGGGAGAGAAAGGCAGGAGTTTTTCCTTTAATGATTTATTCTTACCAGTGCCTTGATTTTCTTGGTGTGAGCAACATGTGCACAGTGGTGCATCCCAAACCTCCCTTCCCTTGAGCATTGTGTGTCTGTGCAAGGCAGCTGGTGCCCGAGTGCTCTGCTCCCCGTTTCCTTTAGGAGAGGAGTGAAGTGACTCCTGCACCAGCACATGCAAAGCACAGCTGTCGTGAAAGAGTGGTTCAGGTTGCTTAAAGAATCACTGACAAAGGTATCAGCAAAATCAGGTTATTGTTAAAATGAAAATGTGGCAGAGTTTATTGACAAAGTTCACTCTGTTGCTTACTAGATGGTTAAAGCGCGCAGAGAAAAATTGGACTAAAACCTGAAATCAATCTATTTAAAATCAACAAAAAAGTATCTACCTGGAGGATAGGGATAAGAAAAGGGTAAGGATAAGAAAGAATAAGGGAGACCCTCCTGTTCAGTTACAATCTCAGGGTGAACACCCTTGCCACACTTGGCTCTGGACTTCACCAACAATTCAGGCCTAAAGGTTTTAATAGCACTCACACTTAATAGCACTTAATCGAGAGCTTAACTGAAATAATTTAACAAAATATTCTCATAGGACTTAAAATAGCACAACAATAACTCACTTATAGGCCTAACTTACTTAGGACTCTAAAGCACTCAAGAATCTAGCAGAGTTCATTCATTGAACACTGGATAAAGCACACTCACCCTCAAACAGACCTACAGAGCACGTACAAGGTAAACCTGTGAAAATTCCCTTGAGCTCAGCAAAGGACTCTCAGCAGATGTCTTTGCATCTTCTCAGGGTTGTGCCCCTGGGAGTGGGGGTATTAGCCCAGGCTCTGTTGTTGTGGTGTGGAGATGGTCCTGCAGGAACAGCAGCATTGAGAGCGCTTTTGCTCTGAGAAGCTCCAGAGAGAGGTGCTGGTCTCAGCCTTCTGCGGTCCAGGAGAGCCCAAAGGTCTCACTTTGCACCACTGCTTAGATGGCCATGAGGCAGTGGGCTTTAGTCACAGTAATTTTCCATCCTGGATGCAATTTAGGTCGGCAAGTTTCTTTGCAAGTTTGCTAACAAAAATATTGTTCTATTTGGGTTGCTATTCAGCAAGAAAACATAGTTTTCAAGGCTGTTAAAACCAGGAGCTCGTTAGTCAAAACAAGTTCATGAGTGTGGACAGAGTTTCTGATCAGCTCTGGAAGAGCTGAGCCCGAGTGCTGTTTGTCAAGGCCAAGGCCTAACAAGCATTTCTGAGACTGTAGTGCAGTCCAAGGAGGGGGTGGGATGCTGCAGAGCTACAGAACATTAATTACTGACAGCTAGGACATTTCATGGCTTAGGACAGGAGTGTGTGTAAAGCCAGTGACCCAGATGGGCTCACACAGCTCCCCTCTGGGCAGGGCTGCACCTGTGCATGGTGTCACCTGAACGTGATGTCACCTGCCGTGTGTCACCTGCGCATGGTGTCACCTGCGCATGGTGTCACCTGCACATGGTGTCACCTGCATGTGGTGTCACCTGCACAGGGTGTCACCTGCCATGATGTCACCTGCACATGGTGGCACCTGCATGTGGTGTCACCTGCACATGATGTCACCTGCACATGGTGTCACCTGCCGTGGTATCACCTGCCATGGTGTCACCTGCACATGGTATCACCTGCCATGATGTTACCTGCCATGGTGTCACCTGCACATGGTGTCACCTGCCATGATGTCACCTGCCATGATGTCACCTGCACATGGTGTCACCTGCACGTGGTGTCACCTGCTGTGGTGCCCTCTTTCCTAAAGAGGGTCTTTAGGAAAAATGGCAAAGGGATTTTGGGAACCTATTTCCAGCCATACTTAACAAACGGGGGCACGTGTCCCATCTGCATTGGTTAGGCCTTTTTCCTCATTGCTAGCCCAAGGCCTGGGTTTCTCTGTAAACTGTGTGATTGTACCTCCCTGCTGGTGTCTGCTCCTTTCACCACTTCCATCCTGTCCATTAGCAGGTGTGGAAAAAATTACCCTACACCACAAACTTCTCTTTTCTTGCATAACCCACTTGCTATGTTACTTTCTGACTCCTGCTGAATAAGGTGCCAGAATACCCCTTACCCTTTGTGTAAAATGTCCCTGCTCATTATGCAGCTTTCCTTTTGCTTAGCCTAAGGGCAGAGACTTTTCATTTTCCTCTCCAGTCCCCAGTGTCCTTCCTCCCCTCATTATCAAAAATTCATGTATGGGAGATAACAAAGTCTCATCACCTTCTCACTGCCTGAGCCAGCACAATTCCTAATCCCCCTCAAACTGCCAGGGAAGCCAGAGGCTGACACATGTAATCCACTCCTGACCTCACCAAAACACTGCAGACATGATTAACCATCCTCAGCACGCACACCTCCCTCCCCCAGCCCTCCTCTCAGTCACAACTGCTCCACAAACTGCTCCCACCCCTGTCCCTTTGCCAGCAGCTCGTAAATGTGAGCCCACCCTCACATCAGAGCTTTTTGCTTTGAGGCAGGCCCACCTCTCTTCTTTTTGCTTGTTCTCACATGCTTTTTAATGCTTTTATCATCATTAGATATCCATTTTATCATCATTAGATGCCCATTTTCATCTGAGTGAAACACGAGTACCCAGCAGAGGTATATAATACCTCTGCTATAATACTATAATATCTAATATATAGTACAGACTATAAATCCTTCAACATTAAGTATTTTTCACTCAGTGTGTGTATGTCTGTCAGATTGTTTGCATGGGCTTTTTCTTCTCATCTGGAAGTGGCAGAGCCATTACTTTTGTATCAACTCTGATAATATTTTACATATTGCTTATTAAAAAAAAAAAAAGGCAAGTGCAGGTACACCACATTCTGGAGGCTCACTGGGTTATATTTTAAAGCTTACAGACATCTCCAGATGTAAACTTTGGGTTCATTGATACTGCAGTGCCTTTCTTTTGAAGTCCTCAAGATTGTGTAGAGATAGAAAGGGCTCAGTGTCCATGGGCTGCCTCTGCCCTTGCTCCAGCACAGCCTCATCTTTGAAGATAGGCAGAGAGACTTGCTGAAGCCAGTGGGCAAGAAACATGGCTCAAAGTGCTCTGCTGGACTGGGGCCAGAGCCCAGAGTGTGTGAGGATGGAGCCAAAATTAACTCAGGCTCATTTCTGTGAGAGCTGCCTGAAACAGGGAAATACCCTTGTGTGGGAGATGATGTTTGAAATTTTTTTGTCTAAGGGTAATGCAAATGTGTGAGTATGAGCTTTAAATAAAATAAAAGCATTTTTTAAAGCTTTGAAATAGAAATTATTTAAATGTGTTCCTTTCCATTACCTGCAGTCTTCTCATCATCCTTAACAAAAGATTAGAAAGAAACAACAGGAGTTGTTACAATGGAGATAACAGGTGTAATGTAAAACCCTGGACCATCCTTTTTTGTTCTGAAGCCACAAAAGTAAGCCAAGATTTTGTCAACACATCATCCCTTTCAGGCCTTGTGTTTACATCAACTTAGAAGATGGTTTGTGGAAAATAAAGAGGACTAAAGACAGCCTTGCTGAGAGCAGGGGAGACCTTTCTGAGGGTACACGAGTGTGTAAGGCTGGGGACAGCAAGGGGGAAATGCCCAGGCTCACAGACACAGGAGTGAGGTGGGCACAGCTGCCACAACCAGCACACTGGGGACACAAGAGTCTTCCCACTGCAATGTGGCCATAAATCCTCATTAATTCTGCAAACAGCTCCAGAGTGGTCCAAAGCCAGGCAGAAAAGGTGTGGAGCACTCAGCTCTGGGTAACAAGGCAGGCAACAGCTATTCCTGACAAGGAATAACACATTGACACACACTGACATGCCTGATAGCCCAGGGATGGGACAGTGGGAGCTTTTAATTAAATACATGCTTCAATGTCTGCTGGATCATGGCTTCTGCCAGGATTTAGGGCACAACTTTAGATCTCTAATGTCTTCACCCTGTGTGCCATCAGGTAAATTATCCAGATAATTGGTTTTAAGCCTTCCAATGACTCCATTCATTTCAGTTGGGTTGCTCCTGCCTGCCAACCCCTTGAAGTCAGCCATGCCAAGCTGCAGCTGGGGAGGCTGGTGAAGATGGCACTAAGAAGGAAAAAAACAAAATCCAAATGAGACCCAAGAGAGCTGGACTCTATTGGAGCTCTATCACAGCTTTCCTGGGTAACCACAGGCAGTTCATGCTACTGCTGCTGGCATTCAATTTGCATCAGTGTATGTGCTGCAAGATGAGGAACACGGCAGAAGAGTCATAAATTGTTATTAATAATACAAGGCAAGGACAGAGCCAGCAGGAGCCCAGAATGGGATTACTCCGGACCTCATTCTGATGTGGAGCTCTGTGCTAGCCTGCAGCAAGCACACAAGATTATTTTAAAGGTACTTTTGT